GTCGACCGTCATAGAGAAATAGGAAGATGGCTTGGGAAAAATATTAGAGTAAAGTGTAATGTTTTAGTTTTAATTTTTTTTCTTATGTTTAAGTAAAAAATCTAAAAACTCTTGTAATTACATAAAGGTAAAACTGGAATTTCATGTGGAGTAATTATTAGATACTAAATTATGTTTTATCTAATGTTAAATAACTAATTATATATAGCAAGACTAATATAAGATCTAATTTCCCTTTTTTTTATTTTTGTCACAATTGCTCTTTATTTGTCGTTTATCCAAATACATTAACTATCCCCTAACTTCATCAATTAATTATGTAATGCTATTATTTCCTCAACATTTTCGTGTAAATAGTTTCCCTTAAGTATTTCCTCAAATAGATTAAATTAAGACAAGATATACATGAATTTGACTGAATGATAGTTTGATTAATATTATCATATGTCTGGCTAATATCCCTCATCATTTAGATAAAGAAATAGAGAGAATATTGACATTTTTTTTTTTTGGTGAAGAATATTGACATTAATTAATGGGAAGTTTACTCAAACATTATCGCGTTTCATATTATATTTAGTTCCGTGTTTCAAGTAATTAAGAATATATATAGCAATAATTGCTAAAAGTTATATCCTTACGTACCAAAAAGATAAAAGGGCTTTAGGCATGGAAGACAAAAATGTGGCCAGAGGTCGCGAGGATCGGAGTAAAGGCGAGAGTTCGACGGTTACAAACAATATTTTATTGTCCGAAACACAAATTCTACAAGTATTAAAGCCAAATAAGCACATGCATTTCTTCATCAAAATTCTCAAAACACTAAAGAAACTAAAAACAATTACCAAATGCTGATACCATCAGTTGCATCATTGGCTATATTTGTTTTGTCATGGTGGGTATGGAGAACTTTGAAGTGGGTTTGGTTTAAACCTAAGATGCTTGAGAGTTACCTGAGAAGACAAGGTCTTGTCGGAACTCGTTACACGCCTCTTGTTGGAGATGTGAGAAGGAGTTTTAGCATGTTGAAGGAAGCAAGTTCGAAACCGACGAAATTAACGGATGATCACATCTCACTTCTCATGCCTTACTCCTTGCAAATGCTCAACACTTATGGTATGCATGTTTTTGGTTTAACTTATAGTTTTTGAGTTCCTCTTCATTTTGATTATTGCTTTGTTAAT